CTCTCTCTCTCTCTCTCTCTCTCTCTCTCTCTCTCTCTCTCTCTCTCTCTCTCTCTCTCTCTCTCTCTCTCTCTCTCTCTCTCTCTCTCTCTCTCTCTCTCTCTCTCTCTCATTTCTCTCTCGATTCATTTTTCTGTTTGAGACGGAGGGCGGAAACGACGCCGGCGACGCTGTTGGTTGTCTCTGCGCAAGCGAGGAGGGCAACGGAGATTGAATTGCGGCTGCTATCTTCGTCTTGTTTTTTTTCCTTTTTTCCTTCATCAAGTCGGTTCTGACGGACCAGATCTGACTTAAACGATCCGAGGCGCCTGTGACATGGGCGAGGACACAGGAGCACTGGCTGCTGAGGCAGTCGCGACATATCTGCAGCAGGGCGCTACGGCATGGGATTCCGTGGTTGACGAACAGCTGGACGCCGATGCAGCTCTGCTGTTGCGCAGCAGTCTGGCACCCATTACCGAGGCACTTCTAGGAGAGCCCCGTGCCATCGAGGCCGCCGGTCGTCTTTGTGCGCGAATCTTTGCGGATGAGGCGGCCCGCGATGTCGTGACCACGGCCACCAGCCTGTTGGAGGCCATGCTGCGCGCTCTCAACTACAGCGTGACACAGGAGGACACGGCGGCCCGCGTGCAAGTCCTGCGTGCGGTGGGGAACATGTGCTTTGACCATAGTGCGAATCGGGAGGCTCTGCGCCAGGCACATGGCGTGGATGCGCTGGCCTCGGCCATGGCTGCATTGACTGCGAGCAACCCCGATGAGCCTGATTCCAACAATAGCCGTGCCATCAGCGCCGGCGTTCTCCTCAACACAGTAGCGGATGAAACAGACTTGCGCAAGGACATGGTGGCCCATGGGGTGATGGACTCGCTTGCCTGGCTGCTTACTGCCGCCCGCACCGAACAGGAGCAGCAGCTGGCTGTCCGAGCCCTGGCTCAGTTCACGGATCTGGAAGAGGCCATGGAAAAGGCACTGCGACCCGCTGTGGCCCTGCGCCTGGTGGAACAGTTGCTCGCCTTGCCGGAGCTACCGCCCTTGGACCCTGCAGCCGTCAACCAAGGAGAGGAGGCAGAGACTGACCCCGATGAGGAGTATTTTCAGTGCTTGGGTCAAATCTTTCGCACCACCTGCAAATCAGACCGTGCTGTCAAGGCTTTTGCTGATGCTACCGTGCTAAACCAGCTCTTGGTGGCCGCTAGCCGAACTGACCGAGCTGGGGAGGTGGCTGCCCTCTGCCTCTCTGTCGTCCTGGGCGATGATGACTGCCTGGCTCTCTTGTGGACGGAAGACTCACGAGATGCTCTTCTCACGCAGTTTGTGCGCTGGATGCGTCATGACAACGATGAGCTCAAGGTCGCCGGTGCCATTGCCGTCGGCAATGTATGCCGCAGCGATGTCAACGCCGCCCTCTTGGGCGCTCAGCCCGGGCTGATAACCCAGCTGGCCCAACTGGCCACCTCGCACCTCAGCTTTGTGCAACACGCTGGCCTGAGCTCGCTGAAGAACCTGCTCAAGCTTCCTGCCAACCGCGCACAGCTGCAGGATGCGACGGGCTATGCTGCCGTGTACAAGTGTATCGATGACCCGCAGGCCCCGCTTCAATACCTCGGATGCAGCGTGCTGCGCTTCCTCGTTCAAAGCGCTGATGGTAACCGCCTCGAACACCTGGTCCACTCGGAGATCCCAGCTCTACCGAGTCGCTTGGTTCACCTCTCCAAGAGCGAAACGCTGGCCGTACGTGCCGAGGCCACGCGCCTCTTGGCCGCCCTCATCAAGGCAGCCGGCTCGTCACAGGTGACCGAGCCTCTCGGAGCTGCCGGTGCTTTCGATGCACTGCTGCGTATGCTCGAAGAGGAACACCCCTTGCTGCAACAAGAATCGGTAGTGGGCCTGGCACTGGCCACGGCCGGTAGCGCGGCCTGTCTGCAACAGCTCATGGAAGATAACGTCGTGCCTCGCATAGCAGCCTTCCTCAAGCGCGCCACTATGCCCAACCTGCTCTGCAATGGCTTGGCTGTAATTAGTCAACTAGCCTCCCATGCCGACTCGGCCCTGACAGCAGATGCCGTAGCCACGCTGCGGGCCGCAGTTACTTCCCACCAGGACCATGAGCACGAGGTGGTACGCCAACAGACGCAAGTTGCCTTGGCTGCCCTCGAGGCGGCCAGTCCCGCCCTGGTTGGCAAGTGAATAAAACCGCCCTCGCCTGATTGTAATCGAATTTAAATCTCGCCTCGGCACCTCGATCGATCAAAGTGCCGTCCACCCAACCAACACCCTTAATGCCATAAAGACAAGATGTTGTCTTTCGTCTATTTGTCAGCGTCGGAGTGCACACACACATACAAACGAAAGAATGGCGGCGGACACGAATTCGTGTTGGCCAACTGGCGGACATGGTTCTCTCGCTATCTTGGAGCTTGGAACGATGGAACGCTGGAATGCCAAGCAGGCTGGTAGACGAGCAAGACCAACCACAACAAAGATCCGCCAGCGCTGGTTGAAAAGTTCCCGCCACCGCCACCACACGACACACAAGTCGGTTTGGGCCTCGTCGTGCAAAACCCGCCACTTTCAAGTAGGAGCACACTGTTGTTCTGGACTGCCTACAATCGGCATCGCTTGGTACGCTGGCAACCAGGAGTAACATTGGCCCTGGCACGCCTCCCTCATCGCCCAAAGTGTTCCTCGACTTTGCACGCATTCACATTGACACACAAAGTCAGACCAGCACGCTTGCGGGGTTGGTGCCTCGCGCTCACGCCCGATCATTCATCCTGCAGGCCGTTGCCTCTGCCCCGGTGCACTAGCCGGCTGCACTAAACTACTCGGGCCGACGCCCGCCTGCTGCCTGCCACTCAGCCACTCAGTTGGAGTGGTTGGTAGAGTGGTTTTGCTGGCGCCCCTGACGACCCGCTCAAAGCACCGACCACCATGCCAGCCGACCTTGAGCACTATGAGCGGGCGCTCGCGGCCATGGAGGCCACGCTGGCAGAGCCCGTCTTTTTGAAGGCCACGCGCCTCCTCCTCACCGTCATGCACAACCTCTACAAGCACCCAGACAAGAGCAAATACCGAAAACTCAAAACCAAAAATGAGGTGCGACCCCTGCTTCATGTTTTGCCCCCATTCTTAACCTAGACTTCACGCTCCCTCGCAGGAACTTCATGTTTTCGCTCTACGTCCCATTCAATATGCCGTATCTCCCTTGTACAGACAATTGCGAAGCTTGTGGCCAGCCCCACGGTCAATGAATGTCTTGAAACCTTGGGCTTTCGTCGACACCGGGTGGGTTCCGCTAATATGGTATCCGCACAGGGATTGTACGGTCGCCGCATCCCTTTCTCATGTGCCTGTCAATCGACCATCTTCCACAGGGCGAGAACGCCTACTTGCAAGATCTGCCCATGTCGCTGGAGCAGCTGGAACACACGATGGACGCCATGGTGGCCAGCCGCAAGCGTCTGGGTGTCATGGAAGCTTGGGAACTCTTTCCCCAGGACCTCGAACTTGGTCAAACCATTGGGGGAGGCAAGTTTGGCAAAGTCTATGAGGGTCTGCTCAACGACCAGAAGGTGGCCATCAAAACCATGCGCAAGAAGAGCGATCCCGCCGCTCTGGCCGAGTTTCGCCGCGAAGCTGCCGTCATGAGTCAGCTGCAGCATCAAAACGTCATCCAACTGCTCGGTGTCGTGCTCAATCAGCATCCTCCGCTCCTGATCATGGAGCTCATGGGTGCCTGCTTCCTGGACCTGTTGAAGCGCTGCACTCTGTCGGAGAAAGATATCCTGGATTGTGCCTTGCAGATTGCGGCTGGTCTAGAATATGTGCATCACTCGGGCTATCTCCATTGCGATATCGCCTGCCGCAACGTGCTCGTGGCCAACTCGGGCCGCCTGGTCCTAGGCGACCTAGGTCTAGCTCGCAAGATGGACTCACCCGAGTGCAATTTGAAGGGCAGCAAGGCCAAGTTCCCCATCCGCTGGACCAGCCCCGAAGTTTTTCAACAGCAAATGCTCACTCGATATTCAGATATCTGGAGCTTTGGCATCACCTTATGGGAGGTTGTCACTCAGGGTGGTGTGCCCTACGAAGGCTTGACCAATAAGGTGTGTTCAAGACGTGCGGGCATTGAAGCAGAGTGGCCCGAGTAGGATGGAAGGCTTGGGCGTAGACGCATAGAATGCCAGGCTTTGCATGCCGTTGCTTGCCCGCTTGGTGCCATACATACGTCACTGACACTCACTCTAACCTGTCTGGTGATGATCACAACTCCAGGAAGCAAAGCGAACGGTCAAAGAAGGCAACACGCCAGGACGTCCCTCAAACTGTCCCAACTCGCTGTATAACATCATGCAGCAGTGCTGGCGCACCCCCGCAGAACAACGGCCACACTTTGACGATCTAGTTCATGAGCTGATCAGCTTGAAAATCAATTTGGCCCATAAAGAGTTGGATGCTGCCAATATCAAGGAGGTTAACGTGGGTAGCCACCTTCCGCGCAAGCGCAAGGCTGTTCACAAAGCACCTGCCAAATCCTGGTTCTTTGGGCGCCGGCGCTCCCGTGACCTACTGCCCATGTCGGGTGGGCCCCAACCCACCAACATGCCCTCCATTTTCCGTGTTCACACCCTGCTAGTGTGCAAGGAGAAGGTGGGTGTGCGATGGTTATCCCCTGCTTGCTTCTTGACCTCGAGCCGAAGCGTGAATCTCACCCACGGGTCTGCACCCCTTGCTTCGCATTTTGCATGCAGCGTCACGTGACTGTTCGTATCAACTACGCTGACCGCGCCGCACGCGTCAAGTCCATCATCCTCAAAAAGCTTGGCATCGGTACGTGTAGACAGACTGGGCCGGAACGTTGTACCCGACGAAAACAAAGCATATAGGTCCGGCATCTCCCATTCACTTGCTTTTACATGGTGGCTGATGTCGATAGACCTGACTGAGCTCGCCGAGTATGAGCTGGTCGAGGTGGGCGCCAATGGCGTTCACAGCCGCATCATGGTCGACGACGAGTACCCCCTCAGTCTCATTGCATCGCCTTTCTACAACCATATGCAAGAGGTGTACCTGTGCCCTGCGCAGCAGGCAGAATACGGTAGGTCAAGTTGTGCTTCCCCACGCACAGCCATGGCGGTGGACAATGATGAAGCGGTTCTGAGCATTCTTTGCTTTCTCACAACCCATTTCTCTGGGCGCTTTCTTTTCAATCCCAATTTTTCCGACGGCTGTACAGTGCACGAGTGCCTAATGGAGCTGCAAGAGGAGGAAGTCGCCGACTACAAGCGACTTTTGGAGGCCCATCAATCTGGCATGGCTGGGCGCGAGGCCGATGCTGCCGTCTCATCCTTGGATGACGACGTGGCTGAAAGCGGTGCACCAGCACTGGCGCTCGACCCCGATGACGAGACTGAGGATGGCACACTTCTCGAGGCCAGCGGGGATGATGACTTGGACGAAGACCAGTGGCTCATGGATGCCGAGGAGGAGAGCCTCACATCAGCTTCGCGCTCCATCTACTCGGGCTTCTCACGTTCCTATCGCCGCCGCAAGCTCAAGTCTATGCGCTCCATGGTCTACGAGGCCTTGTCAGATGATGAGCGGGGCTGCGATCAAGGTCCCAAGCTCTCCGAGACGCTGTACGAAAGTGATCATGACCTGGATGAGGAGGAGGCTGAGCGTGCTGCTCACGAAGCACGTTTTGCCGAGGCAGCTCTGGATGGTGAGACCACTCAGGACCGCTTGCCCACCCAGTCAGCTGGTGCCTCACCCCGCACGACTCAGCGCACGCATCGCCGTCTCTCATCGGGAGGCCTAACCAGTGGAGGTCGCCGACGGCGCGTGTCCCGTCACTCGCGATCTTCCCAGGCCAGTGACGACTCAACCCCAGATGGCCGGAACAGCTTTGTTGAGGGTGAGGGCGCCACCACCGCGTTGTCTCTGGCAAACAATCTTGTCAAAGCCCATGAGACTGACGCCATGACCGTGTTGTCGGAGGTCGAAGAGGCAGCACGCGACGAGGGCAGAGCAGACGCCAAGGCCAACGCGTGTGCAGCCCCATCTCAACAACCCAGGATGCCCGATTCCTCTGCGCAAACCAAAAAGGCCCCCCCACCGGTAAAACCACGACCACAACCAGCCGCTGGAGTGCATCGCGGCCCCAATCCCCGTGATTTCCGCGCGGTGCGATTAATCAACGCAGGCGAAGACGATGTGCGCGAAACGACGACAGACATGCTTGTCGCAGAATCCGACTCGCAACGCTCTTTGGCGTCTACGCAACCCGCAGGGGATCAACAAGGCCAGTATCATGATGTCCGTTCGGCCCGGCCCGTGCAGCCGGCCTTGACCAACGTCTCACGAGTCACAAATCTCACCACAACGACCCCGCCCCGGGTTGTGGAGACTCGAACATCCAGCCTGTCAAGCCGCTCTCCCAGCGGTGCTTCAGAGCTCTCGCGCCGGCTTTCCTCTGCATTGAGTCTGAATAGCAATCAGGCCGACCCGTCACGCGTGCCCTCAACGACAATGTTGACCCGCAACCACCACGATGATTTGGATGACATGGACAAGCTAGCACTCTTGATGGGCGTCGAGCCCGAGCCGACCTTGTCCTCAAGCATGTCTCAGGCTTCCACCTCCCAGGAGGCCTCGCGGCGGTCCTCCTCCAACCGACTTTTCATGGACCCTGGTGTCCTGAGCAAGCGCAAGAGTGTGACCGAATTGGCCCGGGCCTTTGAGTTGAACCACAGTGCTGTGCCCCCGGTGGCCGATGACGGGGAGATTGATATTTGAGGTGATCACTGCGTGCTGCCTCTCGTCAGCCAAGCAGTGGTGGCTTGGCGAGCAGCATGTTGTTAAAGTGGAGGAGGCTATATATGGATTGACTTTGCAGCGAGACCTGCGAGATGGTGCGGTTGGTGGTCGTTGATGCCTAGGTCTACGAGCACGAGGGAATATGAGTGTGTGTGTGTGTGTGTGACTGTGCTTGGACTTGACGTGCCAAGGTCTCTTGATTGAATTTACTACGCTTGGTGAATCAGTGGACAAGTTTAGACACCTGGCCTTGCACACCTGTTTGAGCGAGGTCATGTTTGTCAATGTCAATGCACAATTAGAAAGACAAAGAAACACGAAAACGGCTGTCAGAGCCTGTGCCTCATCCCATTTGGAAGAACTCATACACCCGCATGGTTGTGCTCGCAAGGAATTGAATTCCCACGCTTGCACGAACTTTTTTTTTTTTTGGCTAATTTTCCTCCTATTTTTCAACATTTTTTTTTCTGACCCATTTGAAGTGAGGACATCAAACAAACAAAAGCACTTCGGTTTCCGTGGTAGTGGGCCGATAAGACGAGAGCCGCTTGCTTGCTTTTTATGCTGAAATCAACCTTGGTTGGAAATCGCCAACCGTGATTGACGAACTGAAGAAACCGTTACAGCTGACACACCATTGCGTCGCTCAAATCTTGAAGGCACCATCCCAAACACCTCTGCTTGCGTTACTTGTCACGCCATCGCCATGACGAGGCTGCAGGGTTACTATGTGCACACGAATTTCCCACTATTGCCGCTACACAACGCTCATTACATTGCACTGCAGTGCCACACAACTCTCCAAGTACGAACGATTCAGGAAAGCATAGTCCCAATACGCCCACCATGGCGTATAGGCCTATAGCCACGGAGCCGTGTCATTCTCATGATGGGAGGACAAGCGGCACTCGTGGGTTTGTGTATATGCACAACAAAAGCTGACCTTGCTCCTGCAGTGCTGGCGCCTATTACTACAAACTTGAGCCACTGACCTCCAGGGTCCGACGTGCTGTGCATGATCTCGACCTAGTAGAGAGATCGGAGTGAGGGTAGAGCGTTCACAATCAGCACAATCAGCCATGTATGCACCAAGAGCATTGACAAACCAGAACACGTGTTTCGATGCCATCGCTGGCCTGCGCTGCCCAGGGCTGGCAAGAGGAGTCGCAACCAGCGCCAGCGTCTGGTTTTGCATCAAAACCATAATCATCAATTCGTGTGTGTGAGTGCTCACATGAAAAAAACAAAACACAAACAAAACACATGTCAGAAAAAGGCGGGCAGACAATTTTTGGTGGGTGGTGTACGTTGGGTGGTGCAGCGGGCTATTGGTGGTGCAACGGGGCAGAAGGGAATGTTGTACAGATGTCGCTCTCGTTTGGATGATCCAATTTCAAGCAAAGAAATGGGCTGGTCGAGTCAATTAATTCATTTGGCTTCAGTAAGAACAAACAAAGGCAAACACGGAACAGCAAAACTGCCGAGTCCGTAAAAAGAATTGATGCAAGCACCCTTTTGTCCAGGCCACTTGTTCTACATGCTCAATTCTGGTTGGCGACGGCTAGGCGGTTGCTTTAGAAGCTGAGACATTCAGTGCAAGGGGCGAGATTGAGTGAGCTACGGCTGAGGCCCTATCTGGCACAACTGCGATTGCACGGGCCATCAGAGGTATCGTACCTTCTGCACCAAGAATTCAATCGTGCTATTCGAATAGTCTTCGCCAATGGCAAAGATGGAGATGCTAAAGGTATGAGGACAATAGGCCTGCCATATCGGACGGATCAAAGGTGAATAAAGTTTCTACTCGGCCGTCAGCCTTTTGCATCATCGTTTTGTAACTCACCTGAATGTTGGCCAAGAGGTCGACCTTATGACCCGTTGTGCTCACGCCAAGGGCCAAGCAAACACGTCGCAGCAAGCCGAGGCTGATATCGGGTAGACAAGGGCTCTGTTCCAAAAAGTAACGGCAGATGGCTTGGTGTCGCGATGAGCGAGACAGCCTGACTTGCTGCTGCTCGTCATCCAGGACCTGCTCCAGTGCCACCAAGGGGGCTCGTGAGTGCATGTACGAACGAATGCGAGTGGACAGCATTGAATTGTCGCCCATCTGTACAGAGCAAGGCAAGTGACCATACCGTGACGATACCCAGTTGCTGCACGTAGGCAGAGTACATGTCGGTTGAAGACAAGATGTCAAAGGCGTGCTTGACATCGCTGTCCAGTTCGTCACGGGCCGAGTCATCGTGTTGAACCTTGACAATGTTGGCCTCGTAGCGCCGCTGGCCCGGCATTTGCATGGACATTCGATGGATCACCTGACAAAGCAACCACCGGATCAGAGCAGTACTCTGGCGACCGGAGAAAAAGGGAAGAGGACAAGAAGAGAGAGGGGGGAGAGCCTTGCAACTTTTCTGACCTTGCCGATCTTGGCCAGACTGCGCTGATTGCACTTGCGATGGGGATAGATGATGAGGTATCTGCCGCGCGACAAGGATTTAAAAAAAACCCGGACACAAAACCGGATGCACATGAGTGGGCTTTTTGCACATGGCTGTGGCCTTGATGCAAGGCAAGTGTGCTCACTTGACGTCGCGGGAACGTTTGACAATCGCCAGTATATGCGAAATCACGTCATCGGGCATGCCTAGGCGCGAGTCAGAAAAAGGGTCAAAGGGCTTTGGTCAATGGTACAGAAAAACAAAGAGTGTGGATTGTGGTCTGCTGCTTGCTTGCCAGCGCCAACAGACACACCAATGTTAAAGGCATAGACATGAGAGAAACCGTTGAAGGAGCGAATGTCCTTGATGTTGTGGTCCATAAAGAAGAGACATGGTTTGCTCTGGGTCGGCGTCGTTGTCACGTATGAAGTGAGTGTGAGGCGCGCAGAGGGAGAGAGAGGGAGAGAGAGCAAATGCAGCTTGGATTGACAAACTACCTCAACAACTAGCTTAGCTGCAACAAATCATACCTGCAGGTGCTCAAACTGGGCCACAACTTCGGAGAGAGCCAGCATGGATTGTTTGTAGAGCTGTGGGTTAAACTCCGTACCGACGCTATGATTTCCCAAAGTTGAGCCGCGTGAGTGATGACCAGTAGAGATTCGAATCAGAGCACCTCGACGGTCAAGGCAGACGGGCGTGCTGCCCAGGCTACCTGGCACGGATGGGCGGCACAAGGCCAGCAGCATGCAGATTGGGCCGTCCCATGCCGTGGCCCAGATCAATCATGGTTGCATTCTCATCCAGTTCACACTACGTTTGCATACGGGATAGGCTATCGATCAGGGGCCACACGGGAAGCGACAACTGGCCATCAAAGGTAATTCAAGTCCTGCAAGCACCCAACTGACTTCCTGGCGCAGATATGCGAGCATGTGATGCATGCTTCCCTGTCATCGGCAGCCCCGTAGCAAAAGTTCACAGATTCTGTGAGCAGCGAAGCTGGCGAGGCAGGGAACTGCGACATTGTGCAATCAGGAAAACTGACTCGAGTCACGTTGCCGGTGATGCCATAACGCCCATCGGCTCCGCATGTGACGTCCAGCTACAGGAGTAAGCAAACAGAATCGACACAGAACAGCTGGCGGTCAGCAAAGTCAGCAAGGCAAAGGAGAGAGGAGAATTTGCAGAGATGGCAAGTATCTCTCGTCAAACTTTGCGTGCCTTGGAGTTGACAATTTTGTACATGGTCTTGATGATCCGCGCTTCGTTGAGGGGTCCGCTTTCGGGTTTGGCCGTGTCCGGGTTGAGAGCTTCATTCGGATCTTCAGTCTTGGCATCTGAAGAGGGTGAGTCTGAGCGTTGAGGTGGGGTGTCTGCTTCGAGAGGCGTAGCAACGCCTGGCGTGGCCGGTGTTGACTCGGAGCCTTCCGAAGGCTGGCTGTTGCAGCGAGCCTGCAATGTTTCATACAACTTGGTGGTGGTGGCGCCACCCCAGCGCTTTTGCCCAGTCAGAAAGCGGGATCTGGGCCTGTCTTGTTCAAGGTGGGTTTCAGGATCATCCCCACAGGGGGGCAATATGACGTCACCGCAGTCTTGGTCGTTCCAGTGCTTGCGGGTGCAGGTTGGGCAGCGCGTCCACTGACGCCCATTGCTTGTACCCCCATCGCTGCGTCGTTTTCTCGATTCAAGACCTTGCGATGCTCTGGCATCTCTACTGGCGGACATGGAATCTTCATGGTCGCTACTCTCGGTAATGACGAGACCCGCATCACTGGCATTGTCAGCATGAACGCTGTCGTGATTCTGAGAATTGGGTACGTAATCTTCAATGATGGTGCGCTTGCACACGGCCTTGTGGTGATACGTGGTCAGATCTGACAAGGGAATGCGGTACCGATAGGGTTGGTTGGCAGCAAAATAGGCAATGATTCGCTTTCTCATTCCAGTCGTGGATCGCTTGCCGTGAGGCGTGTCTGCATCATGTTCAATCATGATTCGCCGATGAATGCCGTTGATGCGGATCTTTGCAGACGCAGAACCGGGTTGGGTCCAAAGAGCAATAGGGTTTCAAAGCGAGAGGCCAACAGCGGAAACAAGCGGGGTGGCGACCGCATGTGAGTGAATGACGACCTGGCCTGTGATGTGCAGACAGGTCAAAAGCGTACCGGGAAAGACAAGCCTGAAACCAGGACGCGGCCGGAACCGACTTGCACGGTTCGAATGGCATCTGCAAAAAACATGACAAGTGCAAAGTGGGTAAGAGGATGGCTAAGAGGTTCGACCGTTGGCCGTGTAGCTAGCTACGCGATGCGTGAGTGGAAGGTAACCGCTGATGGGGGTTGACTGCCGTGCTATGCTGTGGTGTGCCCAGGCAATCCAGTGTTTGGGACCAACCAGGATCGTTCTCCACCACAGGGGTGTGGGCTGATGCACGAGCGCCACCTGAATTTCGCTTTGGACGCTTGGCAACGGAGGCGATGTCGGAGCTTGTTGGTTGAGTTGGTTTGGACGTCTTGGACGTCCTTGTGGGTTTCGAGGCTTTGGAGGTGGTGACGGTTGACCGATTTAGTTTGATGTCAGTGGCTTCTTGTTGTTGGGTTGCAGGTTGAGGGGCGGCTTGCTTGTCTGTCATGCCCATGTGAGTGAGTGCTTCTGCAGCCGCAGCTCGCTGAGCAGCTTCGGCACGTTTCTGTTCTCGCATGAGACGAGCCTCTTGCTTCTCGCGAGCACGCATTTCCTTTTCAAAGCGCAAGGTCGCGGCATAGAGTTCGCGCTCGACAGCTTGTTGGGACTTTCGACGCCGACGAGGCTCGTCAATGACCATCTTGCTACTCAGTGAGGGGGGAGGCCACGTGCAGTTGAACTTGCTGGTCAGTTCAGCGGCGTTTTGCACAGCAGGAGGGATCCAGCCTCGAGGCATGAGGTGCCGCTGCAGCTGATCCAGGTAGAGGCGATCCGTATCACCGTCCTCGTAGGTGATCAGGGCGGCGCAGTCGTCGCGCAAGACCTGCATGATACGGGCTGTGTAGAGGCCGTAGGCCCCAAAGTAGCGTTGCAGGAAACGGCCCACCAGCTTTTGAAGATATGGAAGGTCATTGGCATCGCGAGTGGCTGTCCGGTGCTCAGCCTGGTAGGCTGTAGGCTGTGTTGCATCGCCAGCGTCACTGGCAGAGTCTGCCATGGCCTTGGTAGTGGGTTATACCTGAATAAGTCAAGGGTTGCACTTTCGATCCGAGTTTTGATGTGCATGCATGAAGAACCGCCAGGGTCAGTTGGGTGTGCTTTGAGCAGAGAGTGTGCGTCGTGTTTTGTCGAATTTGTCCTTGAATCACACTCGGAGCGGGTCAGTGGCGTGCGGTGATGCGTGTCTTAGAGCTGGCAACCGTTCCGTAGTGGACAATCGATCAATCTTGCGAGCTCGACGAGCAGTTCAACGAGGGCAGGGGTTTGTGTCAGGCGGAGGGCAGCTATCGGCGAGACCTCTAGGTCTTCTCACACACTCCGCCAGCTCTGCGTGCAACACTGCTCCAGCTCCAATCCCTCGGGCGTAATGCGCCCTTCTCACTGCCCTCCAATGAGGTCCCACGGCGACGGCGACGGCGACGGGCTGGCTGGTATGAGGGCACGGTCACAGGAACACACACACACCTAACACCTAACAAGGGGCAAAGTTTGCAAAGCCGACAAACATGCGAAGCCTGAACCAGGTACACTTGGTAATGCGGACAAGAGCGGAGATGATGATTCCAGTACCGACTTTTGAAGAACTCTGAACTGTTTTGTAGTGGTTAATCCTTTGTAAATCATAGCATTCTCTGCAGATACGAGGCCAATTGTCAGCATGTCAGCTGGTTTATAATGTCATCAATTTGTTTTCTGGAGAGAGAGAGAGAGAGAGTGAGAGAGAGAATTGAGGGATACACCCATCGGACTTTTCTTTCGGGAGAGGTGAGAGGGCGTACAGGGGACGTCACTGGCCTGGGTCGACCGAGAAGAAATGCATCCTGGCTAGGATGGTGTGGGCGCGAGCACTGGCTGTCCTTGAGGATCGGGTATTGGATCCTTTGATGCAATGGTGTGGCTAATGGTGGTGCATGCTGGGCTGGTCCATCCTAGTGGTTTTGAAGCTCACACGCCCATCAGGATCATGCTGATTCCCCTCTTGCTGATCGCGGCCATCGCGGGCCTGTTGCACATCTGGCAGAAGCGTCTGGAGTCGCCAAATGCTCAGTCAGTCCCGAATGCTCCCTCGGAGATTATGTGTGGTGCTCTTGATCCCCACCAGATCCTCACCTCGTCCATGATTCGCAGCATGGCTGCTGGTTGCGTGCCCTTGCTGGGACACTCTTTGCTCGTTCAGAAGCATTTATCCAAGATTCTGGAATGGGTATGGTCTTGCCCGCACCAGGTGCCCCCAACGTGCGATCATCAGCGCACTGGTGCTCATTCGCTGCCTTGCAATGCTCTCCCTCGCCCTTGCAGTTCTGGGCCAATTCCAAGGCGGCAAACTTTAAAACATGGCAGCTCAAGGTATGTAAATACTGTAAATACAAAGGCACCACGTTGAATGGGAAATCACAAGGGCCGTCCCAATACATCAGGTCTTCCCCATGTCCTTGGTTAGCTGGGTGCTGATGACTGCTCATGGTTCCGCCTGGACGGTGCGCGCACAGATCATTGGTCAAGCGCCTTACGTTTGCGTGCTGGACCCCGTGGTGGTGAAGCACGTCCTTCAGGACAACTTTGATAATTACATCAAGGTCGGCTCATTCTGTCCAATTGTTCAATCTCAAGCCTGTCCTTCGAGGCCAAGGCCCGTCTCAAACCACCCTCGACAAACGGATCATGTGTCCACAGGGTCGACTCTTTCGGGACAGATTCACCGAGCTATTGGGCCGGGGCATTTTCAACGCGGACGGCCCCGAATGGTCTTACCAGCGCAAAACCGCGGCGCACCTCTTCAAGCGCCGCGAGCTCAGTGGGTTCATGACCGAGTGCGTCCGAATGCATCCTTCACACGCTGCCCTTGCATGCAAACCCATGCCAGTTTCGAGGCCCCTGATCCCCATGTTCTGGTTTGCCGGCCGAACACCACCTACCTCACGCGGCTGAACGTGCCCTGGGAGCGCATTCTTAGAGTATTTTCCGATCATGGTCGTCTAGTGTGCCAAAAGCTGGACGAAGCCAGCCGCACTGGTACCGTAGTTGATCTTCAGGTACCACTTGAGTCCGAGTCTGGGATTTTTGAGGGAATGGCCATGTGCAATGTCAAGCGCCTGGCGATGGCACACCCGCCCGGCATGATGGTGTTTTGTCCATGTCCTTAGGAACTGTTTTATCGTTACACTCTTGAAAGCATTGGCAAAATCGCGTTTGGTGTCAATCTTGGTTGCTTCGAGAACGATCGCGTCGAATTTGCCGTCAACTTTGATACTGCCCAGCGCATCATCATGGAACGTGTTTTGGATCCCGCCTGGTAGGTACCTGTCTCCTCTCAACACCACGGGTAAAAGTGCGATTGCTTCATGTTCTTGATGGAGCAGAGAAAAAAAAACCATCTATCATCTAACGTGGTAACGTGGTTCCTCGTATTTATTATGATTTTTTTGTCGACAGGGAGATTCGGCGTTGGTTTAACTTCATCCACCCGGATGAGATTGAACTGAGGCGTTGCGTCAAAAAACTGGACGGCATTGCGCACGTATGAGCTTCATCTCACACCGCCGCGCCGCACGATGCATTATCGTATTTTGCCACTCGAATGTTACTCTTTCTGATGAACCGTTGGTATGGACACCCAGGGCATCATCCAAGATCGTCGGAAAATCGGCGACTTGTCGGATCGCGAGGATTTGCTCTCTCGATTCATGGCCGTCAAGGATGAGCAGGGCAAGCCCTTGGATGACGAGCGGCTTCGCGACGTTGTCATGAGCTTTGTCATTGCTGGCCGCGACACTACCGCCAACTGTCTGTCTTGGGTGTTTTACGAACTTCACCAGCACCCCGAGGTTTTTGCCAAGTAGGTAGTGCACTCGGCTGGCAGGAACAACACGTGTCTGACGTGCTCATTTGGACCCCATCACAACTAGATTGAAGAAGGAGGTTGATACCGTGCTTGACGGGGCCGAGCCGACGCATGACCTAGTGCATTCGGGTATGCCCAGCCTGTTCCACTGCGAAACAGCACCGATGCGCGTCAGGTGTTTTCTTTTATTCATGCTGCACACCTAAACGACTCCCAGGCATGCCATACCTCCATGCTGTGGTAAAGGAGACGTTGCGGCTGCATCCATCAGTGCCCAAGGTAAGCTGACCTACGACAGCAAGGCTGGCGTAGTGCCATCCCCGTCCACCTTGCTTTGTCTTGCTGTCCCTTCCTCTCCCTCTCACTCTCCCTCAATGATGATGTATTGTGTTTCAGGATGGGAAGGTTGCAGTTAAGGATGATGTTTTGCCGGACGGGACGGTGATCAAGGCAGGCACCATTGTCATTTATTTGCCCTGGGTTATGGGTCGCATGGAAAGGTACGTTTGTCAGAGTCGCACTGTCGATGCTTCTGCTCCAACATGCGCCAGACTTACTGCTTGGTTCATGGCTTCCATCGTGCAGTTTGTGGGAAGATGCGACACGCTTCAATCCTGAGCGCTGGCTGAACCAGACGACGGAACCATCGCACTTTCAGTACACGGCCTTCAACGCTGGTCCACGTCTATGCCTGGGCATGCACATGGCTTACATTGAAGCCAAGCTGTTGGTTGCCATGCTTGTGCAACGCTTTGACTTTGAGGTCAAGCCCAACCAGGAGTTTACTTACACTGTCACTCTCACCATGCCCCTCAAGAATGGTCTACTTGTCACCCCTACGAAGCGTGCTTGAGGCTCTGGCATGTGTATCCATGTGTGTGTGTGTGTGTGTGTGTGTGTGTGTGGTGTGCCTTACACAATCAGTCCATAGCATGGCCTCACAGCAATTGAAACGTGTCATCTTCAGTCAAACGGGTCCTCGTGACAATTGGATTGTGCTAGCGGCGCCTAACATAAGATGCCAGCAGCTTGAATATTTTTGAGGGTGGGAGGGGGTTTCGGTTCATCCGCCTTGCTACAACACGACCAACAACGGGCTCAGCCCATGTCGACGTTGGTGCCCACGTCATCGTTGGTTGTCTCCTCTGCGCAGCATTGAGGCGAGATGGCATATGAGGACCAGTCAATGTCCATGAGATGCATCAAGGGGTTTTTGATGAGCGCGCTAGTTGGGGCGGGCACCAACGTACCAAACACGGTGGGACCACTCGGAGGGCTAGGTTCCACGGGATCATCGTCTGCAAACAGCCAGAATGAGTCGACTGCATCGCGTAGTGCGTTGGGCTCCACATGGGTGGGGTGTACAAGGGCGTACCTTGAAGACCAGTCTTGAGGTCTTGAACGGTGCGCAGAAGGAGGGCAAACTGCCGCTGGCGTTCAGCCAGCTACGGAAAAAGAGCGTCAGCGACAAGCGTGGCAGAAATCAATGTCCACGAACAGCAGTTGCCATTCATCGAGAGAAGGTGGGGAGCGAGACGATGGGAAGGGCAAGGCAGGGAAGAATGATGATCTGACTCACTTTGGTTTCATACTTGCTCTTGATTGTTGACAGGTTGACCAGTTCGGCCTCGACGCGCTGTATTTGTCTGAGGAGAGCCATCATAAGTTTGAGGCGAAATATAGGTCAAATCATCTGATCTGGTGGCAGCAGAATGGTGACATACTCTTCGGTGCTGGCGCGGGAGGGCAGCTCATCCACGGCGCGCGCGCGCAGATCATACTCTGCAAAGGCCGCCGCAACTCGGTGAGCAGGGGCGCTGGAACGTTTTTGTGGCAAGGCATGTTCTGACAGACCCTGTTTGTAGCGCAAGAGTTGTTGTGCTCCGGCTAGATCCACGCGTGCTTGTTCAGTGTCGGCAGCCACTTGCTTAATGCGCGCCTCTGTTCAGCAGTATTGTAATGCATTGGGGTCATGGCCACAGCGCCCACGATACGGATAGGAAGTCAGGCATGGGGCATAGGCCAACAAACCGAGAGATTGCCGCAACTGCTGAAAGGACTCGGCTTCCTCATCATACATGCCCGCCATGGCATCAGCTTTGCTCAAGTTGTGGTGCAGCACCTCTAGCACTTCGGTCATTTCCGCAACTGTGGTGGCTCTGAGATGACGGGTTGCAGATCAAGAGCCACCCGAGGCGAAAAAGGGCAGCATAACGTGAGTTGGGACGTGGAAAACAATCAAACCCAGGAAGTTGGGCTTGTGCGAGACTTGGCCAACAAGAGGCATTGTCGTACCGGTCCTCGGCCGGCAAATCCTCTCCTTGCAGCTTCATGGAGAGCAGGATGAGGCGATTGATGCGGCGCGTGTCATTCTCGTTGTAGTCGAGCCGGCGCTCAACATGTGCGTTTGCTACGAGTACAGTGCGTGAGCACGGGGCGCGAGGGACATCACAGCCAGCATCAAAGAAGCGCACAAACGATTGAGGTTGATAAGACTCTCACCACTCATGCTCCTTGGTTTCTTGCACGCCAGAAAGCGCCCCAGCTGCCGCTCTCCGCCGCCTCGGAACGATCGAACTTTGACGTTGAGTCTGAAACCGCAAAACCCGAAAAACTACACCGACAACAACTCGAATAATCACTGCAATAACTTGTTCTTTAGATCCGATGGAAACTTCATTTACTTCACTTTCAGCGACATATTGGTAGGATCCCTTCAACGTCTACGTAAAACTTGATAATAGAATCGATTAATATAGTAAGAGACATTAACAAAACTACAATTACCACTGGTTTTGCTTCATAAAGTTTTTGTTGCATGCGTTGCATGTGATCTCTCTCTCTCTCTCTCTCTCTCTCTCTCAATTTTTTTTTTGTTTGTGCGCGAGAGGAAACGGCAGTCGCGTCGGTGCGACACTCGTCAAGATGTTGGGGGCTGTATTGGGCTTGATCTTCAAGGTGGTGGCTTTGATTGTGTCCCACGACTGTGCGGATATCCTCGTGAACCAGGGGGACATCTTCCATGAGCAATGCCTTCGTTTGACCCTTAGCAAGGCCCTCGGCTATGGAGTTGTCGTTGGTGCCACCATTGGTCAGTCTTGTCTTTGGGCTCCACATTCCCTTGCTCTTTGGCGCTCGGCGCTCGCAGTCCCCGAATGCAATGCTGTGAAGGATCTAGTCAGGGGTTGGAAGTCGAGTGGGAGGCGGCTGCTCATCATCCAGACGGGACTTGGGGGTCGAGTGGGATGCGGCGGCTCATTGACTTATTCCACCCCTCTGCACACATGTGACTGCTCAGTGAAAGTGCCGCAGATTATCAAAATCCTGCGCGCCAAGTCTGCACAGGGCGTGAGCCTTGTCTCGCACCTTCTCGAGCTCACCGTCTACGCCATCTCCGTCACTCGCAACTACAAGGAGGAGCTCCCCTTCAGGTTGGAACCCATGTCTTGGCGGCCTGGATGGAAAACCGCTGCTGTCTGCGAATCAGCCTACAGCCAGCTCCAGGTCGTTCTCTCATCCCCTGCTGCTTTCAAATTTTCCATGCACCACCAGCACTTGGGGCGAGGGCCTTTTTATCTTGATCCAGCTCGTGATTCTGGTCGTTCTGATTCTGCACTACAACAAGCAGCACCTCTTGATGGCGCCCATTCTGATCATCTTCGCTACTGCCGTCGCTGGTCTCCTGGGCCACCTCCAGATGATCGACCCCGCACGTACGGTCCTTGCCATCTCACGCTCGGTTAAAGGGCCCGCCCCGTTGCCCCTCATGCCTGACCCCTTTTGGAAGCTCACTTGGCTCAAATTACGCTTTGCCACGGTTCCGTAGTCTATGTGCCCCGCGAGTTGCACAGCAACCTTCAACAGTTTGTGGCCACGCCCCTAAGCTCTCTGGGTCGTCTCATTCAGATTGTGGATATCCTGCGTCTCGGTACCACTGGTAAGCACGTTCAAAATTGTTTGGTAGTTTGGTAGTTTGCTTGCGGCCTCGACGCTTTGATTCCTGCATTCACCTGGGGCATTCGGCACGTGATTTCCGGCACCTCGTCCTGCATGCAGGTCAACTGTCCTTTATCACTTGCTTTCTCAATTTTGCCGGCTCGGCTGCTCGCGTCTTCACGACGCTGCAAGAGGTGCGCACCATGTCATTGGGCATGGGGCAGCTAGCCCGCCCTGAGCGAGTCACCCCTCACATCTGATACATGCTGCGTCTGCCTCACGTCTCGCTTGTCATGCATCAGGTGGACGATCTGATCATGTTGACCAGCTTCCTGACCGCCGTCACTCTCAATGGCATTCTTGCAGCTTTGGTATGTAGCATTGCTCGTGCAGCTTACCCCCTTGGTGACTTTTTGCTCTGGCCGATCAGAAAACGCATTTATGTTGCCTCATGCTAACCGCACCGTCGCGCCGCAGTTTCTCTGCTACCCCAGTGGTGCACGCAAGGCCGAAGCAAAGACCAAGAAGACCAAGTAATCAGGATCAGAGTCAACTCGCAACACCCCTCCTGTTTCAAATCAACGACCGTTTCAGTCCTACCACTCCCCTTGCATGGAAAGTTTTTTTTTTTTTTTTTAAAAAAAAAAGATAAAAAAAAGCACACAATTATGTTTGCTTCTGCAGCGTCCAGCCGCACGCTTCCCCCGCCTACAAGTCGCAGTTGTGCAAATTGTGTGAGCAAGGTGCATCGCAGCTATGCCCTTATTGTCGCGAGCATGTCAACAAGCCCGATGCGAGAGACGAGAAAGCCATTGGTCAAAGGCCCACCTTATGTATGTCCAAGCGATAGCCTGGCGGGATAACGTCGGGATGAGAGGGCGTGACGCAGGTTAGGTCGACCTCCTTGCGCATGACCGTGTCCACATCCACGGCCGAGAAAAAGGCGACGCTCTGAGGCAAATCATACATGCCCAAGCGTGCTGCAAACATGCTCCGCACGTACAAGTTGGTCAAGTGGAGCGCATAGGCCACACTACTCATAAAGATGCACGCACCCACCCGCAGGTGCGATCACATGTGAGCTGGTGACATGGTGAGGTCCTGCCGCTGCAAAGTCGGGGGCTTGTCACGTACCGGGCAATGTCCTCATCAGCTACAATGTAGCGAATTTCGTCGTGAATAGTGATGCATAGTCGCGCCTGCATTGAACATCGTCATTGGCCGGCAAGCAATCACACGTGACAGGAAATCAAGTATCAGCTAGCTGTTCGAGAGTCATGGTGCTGACAAACAAGTACGCACGCGCAGCCCGTAGGTTCGAATAAAGTGATCCATGGAAGTGATCATCAGGTGCAAAAAGTCCACGGCCGAAGATTGGACCACCCAGTTGACGCGCGATGTCATATACTGTGACATTGAGACACAAAGAAAACGGTGCATGAACTCTGGCCGACAAACGCTACTTGCGCTTTGGGCAGCACATGTGTCACAAACCGAATTCTGCCCGTAGGGACCCGCGACGTTGCGAGGGAGTAGCCCGTCCGTGATTTGAAAACCCAGGACCGGGGTTCGTGGTGTTGCCTGCACTCGGCACGAAGAAGCAGAGACAGAAGATAGAGTAAGGTTGTTTGGGAAGAACGCGGTCAGAGGAAGCTTTTAGAAGGTATCTGGATGGGCATTTATGGCTGTCATACCGCAGTAGCAATGTCCTCAAGACTGGTAAACATGTGACTTTCAGAGCCATCAAAGTAGCCACCTCGAGCACCCGCGATACGCTTGCCCTTGGTCTCCAAATAGAGTTCCTCGGCCTTGGCTTGCGCTTCGCGCTCGGTGATTGTTGGATTAAACTTTTGAAGCTATAAAACGCGCAGTTCAGAGTGGCGTGAATACGTTCACGACACCGCCCACAGTCGGAACAGGGCCAGGGGTGTCAGGTTATTTACCAGCGATGCTGCAAAGGCCTTGCCAGCACCGTAGATGCGGCCATAGTTGAATATTTTGGCCTCATCACGATTGATGCCGAGAATCTTGGCTGTCATGCTGTGCATGTCCGTGCCGTCATTCTTGGTTCTGTAAGGAGACGCCGGGTTGAAAGGCATGCAATGAAAGGCAGGAGCTTTGAGCGAAGAAGAAATGTGAGGGTGGCAGGTTACGTCAAGCCTACCCTTGCAGAGTCATCCATCCCATGGCAGTGGCGCCATGTTCGCGGCCCAAGCGCTGGTCGCCGATAACTGAAGCGATCCAAAGCTCCTGACTATCCACATCTGCGCCAACCTGCATACGGAGGGCATGAACACTTGAGAAGCCGAATGCAAGACTGAAGCAGAGGACGCAAGAGGCAAAGCACAGATGTCGTACCAGCTTGTAGCCTGGGGGGGCTTGGATCATCGCTTTGAGCTCACTGCCGATGCGCTGAGGCTTTGGGTTTGAGGCTAGACAGTGCATGCATGCCAACCACGAAGAACGGCACCAGTCAAAGGAGTGAGGATGCGGCGGCATGCGAGGGATGGCCCAGAGCAGAGCAGAACAGACAATTACAAACAGACCGGTCATCCACGTCTTCTCGACGGCGCGCCGGGTCACAGTCCCAAAAGGTAAGACCATGGGTATGATGGCACCAATGGGTTCATCGCTAGCGGCAGCATGTGATTCACCGAGTGAGGGGTATGGGATGAGGTTGCGTTTATGCAGTCTGTTCTTCCACTCATTGCCATTTTCATGCTTTTCTCCTCTTCTCGCTTTCTTTTCTTTTTTTATGGTCAGACCTCCGAAAAACAAAACAAAAAAGCCAGTGTTCATACAGGCCAAGCGTACCTGTCGAGTTGCTTTGGTGTGCTCCGGCCATTCAGAGTCAGAAAGCGCTCCCGTTCTCTCCGATCATCCATAACGACAAGTTGCTTGTTGGCACGGACTCGCACAGAGACCCAATATGAGCATGCTAAGGTGTTGTCCAAAGCTTCTCGCGCCTATGCCAGACCAATGATCACCGTGCATGCCGTGACTCTTCCCCTCTTTTTTAAAAGGCAGCAATGGCAAGAATCGGTATGGAGAAACGGACAAGGCCAACATCAGCTGTTGGCACCACAAACCTGCGGGTCATCTGATACCAGCAAGCCATTCTTCATAAACTTGAGGTAGTCCTTGCCAAAAGGGTTGCCGCATGTGCTATCCGGGCCTCGCTACAGTGTGCTCAAATTGGCCAAGCGTTAGCAGATGCCTACAGGGCGCTCGTTGAGGAGACCTTGATCGTACCGAATTGGGTAGCTTAAAGTAGTTGTGCGTCAGGTGTGTCGCATCGTTGGGTGCTTCCCACTCATACGGGCCATAGCGCTTATCAGAGGGGGCATGGTGCGACCCCTTGGGAACGAGGTAGCCCCATTTATGAACGGGGTGGAAATAAAGCGGATAGGATTCATTGAGAGCCTGGGCCAAGTGATGACCGGGTTAGGAGATCGAGACTGCGAAGCGGACTTTTTCCCCCCTGCGCGCAGGGCATGCACGGCCGTGGTGTGCCTCACCTGATCTCGCCATTGTAAGCGAAGCAGGAGGGGTGCAATGCGTTTGCCAGGGGCAATTTCCAAGCCCCCTTTGTCATTGCCTGCACGGGTTCAAAGTTGCTGTAAGTCAGGCGAAGTGTGGGCACGGACATGGGGCAGCTTGCCAGGCAAGGAGCATGCACGTACTGCCCTCCCAACACGCTTTGTACCATTGGGGCTTCCCCGGCAGCTTCTGGCGCTTGTATGGAAGGCCCTGTCCAAGAGTCATTTGCCAAACGGCTGTGAGTCACAGGGCTGAACCAGGGGCAGGCAAAATCACTCGGGGCAAACGTGGAATCGAAAAGAAAGCCGAAGTACAAGTCACACACCTGCTTGGTGTATTTCTGGGGCTGAAACGTCCAGTCCAGGTGCCGCAGCCAGGGATCCTCCAGCCACTTGCCCGACTCCGTCTATGCGGCCAGAAGGTACCAAGGATCAGAGGTGGCTAGTGCTCCACGTCGTGACCAAACGACAGACTTTACCAGTTGGCTTGCTTGCTCGGCCAGCTCCACCAGATGTTGCCGCGTCTATGATTGTGCATCCATTGAGATTGCTGAGCTACCGGTGATGTGGTCATCGGTTTGTTATTAGAACTAAAAAACTAACGAGGCGCATCTTCTCAATGTAAACCCGCTCGGATTCGTCGAGATAGTGCTGCCAGCTGGCATTGACGGGTAGGTACATCTACATCGAGGTGAAGATGAGCAGCGAGTTTGGGAGGCATCAAAGGGCCCGGGGTTGGGTGCCAAGAAAGGCCCTGTGCGCGAAATCGCACCTTGCTCATCTCCAGCATGCCCACCAAAGTGGCTAGGTGTCCGGTGTGCGCCAAAAACTTGGGCAAAATCTGGATTCATGTAAAGACGTGGGGTAGATGTCGAATTGATAAGTAACACGAGTGAACAGATCCTTACGCGCGCCTCGTGCTCTGGAGTCGACCAACGTTTACAGCGGCACCGATGCAGGGCATTGACCTTTTGGTAGATGGCCAGAGTTGCAAGTACATCACGCGCGCAATATGTCGTGACTTCTTGGAACGCGTCTCGAACATCATCAAGTGAGCCCTGTGTCGAGTAAGACGACAAAGAAACAAGAAACAAAAATCAGGTGGCCATTGCAAACGCAAGCCGAGGGAGGGCCTGTAGCTGGCGCAAACCTGAACAAAAATGTTTCGCGTTTCCTTGGAGAGCTCTTTGTAACAGCAAAGACGGGCAGCCAAGCCGTGAGGCATCGCAAAAGACTGGATAAATAAAAAAGGCAAGAAGGGGCGGGAGGTGTGTGGGGTCGGGACCTTTTGCATCGACGTGGCCCTTGGGGTCAACCGTGTGCCGATAGACATCGACGAGTGAGAGTGGGCTGGATTCATGCACCCAGCGAGGTGCGTGAGAGAGGTTGTCGTCATCCAGGTCTAGTTCGTCATCCTCCTCTGCGGCCTGTGGAGCAGCACGTCGATCTAACGGGCAGAAACGGAGCAAACATGATCAGACCCAACCTGCAGGCACAAGCAGCGAGGTTATGTTGGAAGGATACGCTTGGCTTACGGTATTTCTGCCACTCGATGGCTTGTTGAGAGCTGAATCCTCCGGTCGCAACGTGGAGGGAGGCCGTATCGACCCAGCCTAGACGCAGGGTGGACATTGAGTGGCTATGGTCGTGCAAGGGATGGAATGGGTCGGGTACAGGTCCAAGGGTCTGGCTGGCCAGTTGGCGAAACGCACGTGTGCCATCGTTGTCCAGTTGATATTCCTCGAGCACGCGCGCACGGTCGTAGCTAACGTAGTGTCCGACCACGACACGGGGACAGCCGGGGTCTTGATCCGGCGGCTATGGAAGGTGGCAGAGGGACGCAGGGGACACAGGGCGCAAATCAGGATCAGGAAACGAACGTTGGGGGCTCATGGTCCTTTGGAAGGGGAGGGCAAGGTGCCCGGTGTGAGCAGGTTGATAACGCACGGTGAGGGGGATCAGGGTATGGGGTTGGTCATTGCCCTCGATCAGGCGCGGGGAGCACCAACTGTACCAAGCATCAGAGGTTGCGGCAACGGCCAAAGTTGGAAACTCGCCATCGGGCACACACGTTTCAACATCAAAAACGAGGGCATCACCGCTTGGTGCAGCCACAGCCTCTGGGGGCACGCCAGGGGCATAACGCGTCCAACCCGTGCGCCAAGCCCAGGTCTTGGGCATGGGGGGAAATTTAGCTTGAGCCAGCTGGCGCATGAGGTTGAGGTACGGGGTGCCGGCGGTGTGAGCAGCGGCATCAAAGTGGGCTTCAATGGGGGTTTGGGCATGCGCTTGAGACGGGGTGGTGTTGGTCCTGGCGGGTGGTGTTGCCAGAGGTGGCAGTTGGGCGTGGCTAGGAATCTCGTAGACGGGATCAGCCACGCGATCCCAGAGCTTGAACTTGGTCAAATGCTTCTTGATCTCAAAGAGGGCTTCAGCCCGAGGCAGCTCACTGAGGCTCGGAGGGGCGTCAGTCCAGTCCCGCGGGGCCGGGGTCGGGGTCCCAGCGTCCTTTTCCAAATTTGTAGCTTTGGTCGTGTTGGTGGGGCTGGCGGCCGTGTAGCTAGCGGTACAGTGGTGCTCATATCGCTCCAGGAGATCATGGGCTGGGGCAGGGGGGATGCGCTGGTTGTTGTGTGCAAAGAGGTGGAACCAGGGGCCCGGGGAGAGCATTTGAATGTTAGCAATGTTGCGACGCACGTTCTTCCGAGCCACGGGTTCAGCGTCGGCTTGCGCGGCTTGGCCGCGACGGCTGCCAAAGTGACGGGCAGAGGCCGTCGCGGCTTGGTGAGTCAGGGCGCGTGGTGAGCCCCCCGCGTGTCGCACCAGCGGCGGCCCATGCAGGGCCGCCATGGCCCGAACCATCCCCATACAGCCTATGCAAATCCTCAAAGCATGTATGGGAGTGAATCAGGGTGAAATGCCGCCTGGCAGGGCCGCGGCACCATCAGCGAGTGCGCATTGGCGCTTTCGACTCTGGCTCGGCTCGGCTCGGCTTCGGCTCATTCGATCCAAAAGCTCGTCGCCGTGTCGTGACTCGGGCGCTGCAAACGACATGAAATGATGACAATCTGACATCTCCCCCGCAGATCAAATCAAACCACTCACTGAATTCGTATACTGTATTCTTTGCCGCCTATTTATAGTTCCGGGACAAGTTGCGTGTGCAGCTCCACAGGTGTGCAGCAGCTACGTGTGTGCTTGCACGCCACACGTCAGTTACCAGCATTCTATATTTAGACGTGTGTGTAGCGACACGGCCTGTACTCCAAATTATTGTTTTCCGCCAAACAATGGGGAGAAAGCTTGGGAGAAGCTTCAAGCGTACCCGCATTCCTTCACGATGTAACGTTTCTTCACGTTGTCGTGTTGGCATTACAGTGTAACCCGCCCCCCTTTGAAACATGTGTGAATGTGTGTATGTACGTGTGTGTGTATGGCCTTACACTGTCCTGTCGCTGCCTTGCCTTGCCTTGCACGTAGACGTCGTAGACGGCACTCATCCGTTTCTTCCATCTTACCACCACCCTGTGCTTTGCACGGCAAGGGGCGTGCAAGCTGCTCTCCCTCTCTCTCTCTCTCCATCTCTCCCTCTCTCCCTCTGCGCTCAGTTGCACACTGGCGCCCCTCCCCGGCGTTGGCTCTCTTTCGCGTGACTTTGCGTTCAACCGTGCTCCCTTGTGTTCGGCGCTGGTTGTGCTTGGCGCCTGCCTCCGGCGCGTGTTGATTTGGCTGGGGCCTCTCTTCATTCTTGTGCTTGTTGCCTTTCGCTCCGGGGGGTTTTTTTTTGAGGGCTCCCTACGGCTTTCTGAGGCTCCAACCGCACAGGTTGCTGCCTGGCGCTGCTGGTGAACCATAATCACATTGTCCCGATTCTTTCATGCGCGCAGCCGGAGCTCCGGCGCGCTCCCGCATCCGACGAGCCCCGCACCGACGTCATGGAGGAACTCTTTGCCGAGTTCCGCCCGCTTAGTCTCAAAGCTCGCTCTCGCTCGTCTGACACCGAGGACGACAGTCACGGCTTTGAACTGTCCGTTCAAGCCGGCCCCACCTCCTTTGGCTCCAACTCGGCCAACTCAGTTGTCGATGTTGCTGCGGCCGCCAGCGAGGCCTCAACCGTTCCCATCCTCAACATTGGTCACACCTTGCGCTCTCGCAAGGTGACCAACCGCTCCTCGACCTCGGGCATGGCTGAAGATGAGACCGAACTCGATCTTGATGCCGACGACACCGCCCTTGAGGGAGATGAGTCAGATCTTGAGGTGCGACCTTGCGCTTGCCCAAGCGAACCTTCCTCTTTTGTATGCCTTTTTTTTTTCTTTTTTTTTTTCCCTTCACTTCCAATCCATAACGCCTGAACGCCACGCATCTGCTTGCAACCTCGGTCTCACTTGATTTTGTTTGCTTGGCGATGGACAATGATGCAGACGTTTGATGTGATCGACCCGGCCGAGGCTGAAGAATTGGAGCAATCACGCTCTGCTTTGCCTTTGCCCGCAGCGGCCTCGACGCCCTTGGCACGGCGCCGGCATCGGTCGCCTTCGCCCAATTTTCGCCGCCTGCTTGACTTTCAACCGTCTGGTTCCAGCATCAGAGAGGCCATCGGACGCGATCTTGGTCGCATGCGCCAAAATGCCGTTGAACACAGCGTTTCCTTTGTGGGCTCGTTCTTTGGTTGCCTCTTCGGCTCGAGCCAACAGGCCGTCGCCAAGAAGCAGGCACCCCGTGACCCCTTTCTCATCAATTTCGAGGACATCCAACAACTCAAATGGATTGGGGCGGGTGCGCATGGCTGCGTTTTTCTTGGCCACTACAATCAAGAGGAGGTTGCGGTCAAAAAGTTTCGCGAGGAAAAGTTTATTTTCAATGTACGTCGCGCAACGACGGGGAACCAACATATCATCGCCGATTCTCGTGTCATCTTATACTGATGATGATGATGATGATGATGTTTGACGAGGCTCCCCATCTTCATTCTCATCTCATCTTGACTGAATGCGCGTGTGGTTCCATGAATTGCAGGAGGAGCGAACCCTACGTGAGCTCAAGCACGAGAACATTATCGGCCTCAAGGGCGTGTGCAAGGCTGCGCCCGTCTTTTGCCTGGTCATGGAGTACTGCCCGCGCTCCCTTTATGATGTGATCCAGTCCTCCAAGATCCCTGCGCCCTTGGTCGTCGAGTGGTCGCACCAGATTGCCAATGGCATGCTCTACCTGCACGAGCAAGGCATTGTCCATCGAGACCTCAAGGTGAGGTTGAAACAAGCGCCTTTGTGTCGTGTGACTTTTGCGGGTTATTGGGCTGTCGTGTCTCCCTTTGGCCTCACTTGGACTATGTGATGTTTAGTCACCCAACATTTTGGTAGCCCAGGACAAGCGCACGCTCAAGATATCCGATTTTGGCACGTCAACGGACATGCCGGCCAAGAGCACCAAAATGTCCTTCACCGGCACTTGCGCATGGATGGCACCCGGTATGCTGCTGGCTCTTACAACCAACTTGCATTGTTTTGCGTTGTTTTCCAATTGCTTGGCTTGCTCCTTGTGCGCAGACACGGGTGACTGATGATGTGGATGTCGGCTCTTGGACATAGAATTGCTGCGAGGCGAGAAATCGTCGGGCAAGGTGGACGTGTATTCCTTTGCCGTGGTTCTTTGGGAGCTCCTGAGCGGCGAGGTGCCGTACAAGGGCGTCGACGTGGGTGCCATCATCTGGGGAGTGGGCAGTGGACGCTTGCAGCTGCCCGTGCCCGAGGGCACGCCCGACGGGTTCTCGCTCTTGCTGAAGCAATGCTGGAACAAGGAAGGCAAGCACCGTCCCTCCTTTCGCCAAATCCAGCTGCATTTGGGCATTCTTCGCGACGACACGGACTTTGCAGCGACGCCAGACGAGTCGTATTTTCAGACCCAGTTGCGTTGGAAGCGGGAGATTCGCGAGCGGTTTGAGGAGATGAGCCGCGCCGAGGACAATGCGCGACAAGAGCAGGAAGAGCTTTTGCGCCGTCGCAACGAGGAGATGAAACACGTCGAGGATGTGCGCGCCCTCTACGAGACGCGCTTGGCTGAGGTTTTGCAACTGCATACCGAGCTGCAGGCCGCCTTGAACCGCGTGACGGAGCAAGAGGTGGCGCTCTCTGGCGAGTATGAGTCGCGCGTGGCAAAGGATGCCTTGAGCGCCAATGCTCACAGCAACGGCAAGCGTCGTGGCCATCGTCGCCGCAGGCGCAGCAACAACAATGGTCATGGCAACGGCGATCTTGATCATGGCACCTCCAATCGATCGCGGCGCCTGTCCAACCGCGAGGCCACCATCCTGCGCCGTGCTAGCAAGGACGTGGAACGCATCCAAATTGAGCTCGAGCAGAGTCTGGAGGACGTCAAGCGGCAAATGGAGACAGTCGACGAGGACATGCTCGAGGCTTGAGCTTTGCGGCCCCAGTGTTTGCGCACTTTGTGATTGCTCCAATGGTGTCTTGGCTGTCGGGGCGGTCTTTGGCGAGGCCGTGTCATCTTTCTTTTTTTCTTCTCCTCAATGTTTTTTTTTTTTTTTTTCCTTCCCTTGATCGAGGGTCGTCATGCTCGTCGAGCGTGACACCATGTGAATAGTATGATCCATGTGACGAGTCGTCCCTTTCTCTTGCCGTGTCTGGCAGGAACGGTTTTTCTTGATTTTTTTTTCTTCGAGTTTGTTGTCGTGAGTTGGTGCCGTCGTATGAGTTGTTTGTCGCGCGCAACGAGCCCAGTTAGTGGCGCTGCGCTGGTCATGTCGAGTGGTTCTGTCATGACGTTTTATCGTCCGTGGCGTTTGATTGTTGCTTTGCTCCGCTCAATGTCAACATGTCGCGCAGTGTGCATGACATGTGTGTTGTTCGTTTTCTGCTTTGCTGCCTGTGGTGTGCTGGTTGTGTCTGTGACATGAATTCGTTATTTTTCCCGGGAGTCCAGCCAATCGTGGCTTCTTGCACTCTCTTTTTAGAATTTTTCTCCCTGTTTTGACCTGGGCCTGCCCCTTATTGTGGCCCACTAGCCTGCAATCGATCCATCGATTTTGATCCATACAATCTCTTGTCGCGGGCGGGCTGAGGGACACTTGCTCACGTGGGTGATGTTGCGACAAGTTACGCGTGTACCAACAATGCAAGCATACTGGCATTCTGTCCCTGAAGCCTGTCCCCATTGGTTCCTGCGGGCGTGGGCGATGAAACTGGAGGTCGGAACCTTATATCATCACCCCAGCGTGAGGCGCATCTGTCCTCAAAAATCAGACGCCGCTGTCACAAGTGAAGCAAATCATCACACTTTACACTTCATAGGGTGTTTTCCCATAGTGGACGGGGTATGGGCTGGATCCATGCTGGACCACTCTGGTGTGTGATGTAACCACACTTACAAGCCAAACCGCAGCACTTGTATCATTTATCAGGACAAACGCTACGTATCCCCGCGACTGGGTTAGGTCCTGTCCCTATGACCTGAATGATGTAACACCAGCCACTTTGGAGGAAGGCGGTGGGGCTTTTTGGGCTTTTTGCGTTGCTGGTCTTTTCGTTTTGCGGTTCGTTCTGGACAAAAGGAGGCTCTGCTTGACGAGCCAAAGAGAGCGTGTGTCAGAGTGCACACTTCATCATCATGATGATGAAGAACAGAGAGAGAGCGAGAAAGAGAGAGCAAACAAAAGAACGACATGAACACCAAACCACATGCGTCACGCACTCTCTTTGTCTCTCTCTGCCTCTGCACCGTCGGGTCGGGCTTTGCATTTTGAATGCTATTCCCGCTCCTCGGTCGCTCGGTCGGTCGCTCGGTCGGTCGCTCGCTCGGTCGCGCAAACGCGCACGCGTTCTCTTTCTCTCTGTCTCTCTGTCTCTGTCTCTGTCTCTCTGTCTCTCTCTCTCTCTCTCTCCCCCCTCCTCGCTTGTCTACGTTCCATTCGGACAGCGGGGGTGAGCGCAACTTTGGGCAGCGCAGACACGCTTTTGTTTGAGGCTTTGACTTCAAGTTACAGCAAGACGAGCTGGAATTGACATTGGGCACCATGATGACCCACACGGTTCGCCTGCTCCTGGTCCTGGCCCTGGTCTTGCACCAGGCTGCCGGTGAAGCCACTTGTACTTGGGCCGTTGAGCGCCTCGGCACCTCCGAGACATGGTCGTCGGCCTCGAGCTCGGGCTCTGCCATCCTCATCCGCAGTTCTGCCACGGAGGCCACCACGCTTTCCGTACAATTCACGATGAGCACTGCTGAGGTCTCGGCCGCAGACCTGCAGCTCGCAACCAGATTTGGGCCCCCTTTGGGGAACAAGGAAGTGCAATACAATGGCTCGACCTACATCCTCCCGGCCCACGGTGCCTCACAGATGCGCCTGCGCATCCTTGATGCTGCCGTCCTGGATACCAGCGACCCACAAATCAGCTGGACCGCCCACTTGTACATCCCCGCTTTCACAAGCGAGGTGCCCCTGACTATTGCTCCCGAGCGCATGCCCGGTAGTTTGGGCGAAGCCATCAGCTGCGGCGATACGCCCGCATTGGCCGTGGTCGTTAATTACACCGGCGATAACTACGTGCCAAGCATCGTGTCAGCGACTCGTCTCTCACCAGACTTGCTGGATCTTGGAGAAAGCCCTGCCTTGGCCAGCGCTCGCATCGTTGTACTTGACGATGCTGATCGCCTCATGATCTGCAACCTCACCTACTCCAGCCCTGCCAGCTTCAACTTAACCTTGACCACAATGTCCGAATCAGCTGTGAGCGTGGGTACCGGCCTCTGGCGCCACGAGCTTGTTGTGACGGCCATCCTGCCTCGTTGGAAGGGCAACATCTCCTTCACCGACCCCACCCTCCTCTGCTGGGACGGCATGCCCAATTCTGGTGCGCGTGACTTGCTTTTTCTTGCTTTTTCAATTCTGCTTGATGCTTTTTTTTTTTTTTTTCCCTCTCCCGCCCTCTCACGCACCATCGTTCCGCTTTTGCCGGTCCTTGGCCTGCTGGGCACGACAGTGAGCGTTCTTTCCGGCCCAGTCCTCAACCACCTCGATTTTGCCACCCTGGACCAACTGGACATCACTGGTCCTGAAATCTCCGACGTCATCTTTGGCCCCGCCGTCAACGCTTCCGTCATGACAGGTGTTGCATTTAGCCTTGAGTTGCGCGCTTTTGACTCTGAGTCTGGGATGATCAACGCATGCCTCGGCCTGATCTCGCTCGCGTTGAACGGTCAGGAGGTCGCTCCCTATGTCTACTATGCACATTTTCTACCGATTACCGGGTCTAGCCGCGGTGGCATCTACGGCAACACGGCTGCCGAGCTTCCTGCCGCCATTGCTGCACCTCCAGGTAGCTCCTTGATCTTATCGACACTCCAGTGCACGGATCAGGCCGGAAACGTTGGCCACATGAACGTGTCGGAGCCCTTGAACTACACCAACTTTGACGATGTGCCACCCGTCATCGAGGACCATTACATTTATCAGCGCAATGGCACCGTCCATTTGAATTTCAACGCGACGGAGGAGGGTGTCGGTCTCGCTGCTTGCGGGGCTGAACTGTGGCAGGATGCCATTCTTCCCAACCATTTGAAACAGCGGCCCATAGTTTTTCATCAACCATTGCGCGCTTCTTCGAACCGCTCATTTTATGCCGAGATGTCCTTCACAAGGCGACTCCCTCTCCTGTGGACTTCCCGGTTCAACGTCAGCATCTATTGCTATGATATAGCCTCAAATTATGTACGTGTTGCGCGTTTGGCAGTGCCAGCAACCTTCATTGCACTCAGGGAAAACGGAGCTCATTCTGGGCTCATGCGCTTCCACTTTCCCTTCTCTCCCGCCTTCCCCCCTCCGACATTTTTTTGTAATTTGTTGTACTTCGATCAAACAACAACATAATAATGCGACGACACTGCTTTGAATAGGTCTGGCGGAATTTCACCTGGGACGCGAATCCCGAGAACCTCACATTTTCCACGTTTGATGTGTCCGTGTCGGCCCTGTCCTATCCCAGCTCAGTGCTGCGAAATGGTCCTCATGGTTTTATCGAGGTAAGCCCGGCTGGGCCATCTTTCTATGCAGGAGGCGACCCAACATTTTCCTCACAGCCCGCTCACATTTCTTACATTTATTCTCTTGATCCTTTTTGCTCATCTGGTCAACTGCAATCACAGCTTGTCTTTAGTTCCATGTTCTCCAATCAAACTTGTGCTCTGGAGATGACGAGCAGCATTGGTCGTACAATGCACATGAACTTAGCTACACCAAACAGGTCATCCTCGGGCCTGACTACATACGTTAGCCCCATGCTGAGCATCATGTGGAACCAAGTGCCAGGCTACTACTATCCCGCACGCATTAGCTGCTTGGTGAATAGTGTTATGGAATTCATCTACAAGCCGCCCAGCCCTCTACGGGGCATGTACTTTGAACCTTTACGTGTGGACCAGACTCCACCTCAAATTCCCTTTGTTAATGTGACGACGCCGCTCGTTGATACTGAGCTTGGCTTGGCCTTTGTGGCTCTCGATGGTGATCGTGAGTGTATTCGATGCCGTCGATGCTGCCTGGCTCGCTTGACTGAAATCCCTTGTCTGCGTGAGTATGCACACGTGGGTTTTTCTCACAATCCCCTGAACTTGATTGCTCACAGAGCTCGAAAGATGCACTGCATCAATCCAGGCTGCCTCTGGTCCTGCCAGTTCTGTAGTCCGCCCCTACTCCTTTGTTCCACAGCCACAAACGAGCAGCGTGCAGACGGTGACCATCAACATTAGTCGGTTCGTGCCAAGTCCCGTTTATGTCAGAGTGTCCTCTCGCGGCCTCTCGAACGCTCTACGTCTTCTTTCTAGCTGCACTTCTTTCTTTCTTTCTTTCTCCTCCCTTCTATTGACGTACTGTTTGACATTCTGTTTTGGCAATCGCAGGTGGTTATACGCGGGCACGTACTCACTCCATAGCCTGAGGTGCGTCGACCGTTCAGGCAACAGCAAGTCTATCAAACCTGACGTCGGGTCAGTTGGGCCCACCGTCCGGCTACGCTTCTCCAAAATTTCACCGGGCGACACGACGGCCCCCGCCATTGCTGGAATCCGAGAGGTCGGGCAACCACCTTTCCTTCTCGATGCCAACGATACCATCGCTTTTTACATTGATGCTGCCGACAATGAGAGCGGCATCCTGTCCTGCCGCTTGGGCTTCAACAACACTTCCCGAAATGAAGCCGTGCGCAATGCATTCGAAGAATGGACCGAGTCAGGCTATGTGGAGCAGAGTACGGTTAGCCTTCCTCGAGGACCTTTACGCCTTGACTATGTTCAGTGCTTTGACCACCTCTTCAACCTGGCAGTCTATGAGGTGCCGCCGGGCATTGAGTATTTTCAAGCCGAGGTGACTCGTTTCGATCCCATCCAGTTTAGCCGAATCGTCTTCTCTGAGAGCACGGTCAATACGAGCCAAAGTGACGTGACTGTGACCATCACGGCCGTGCCTTCAGCAGAGGCCCGCTACGACCTGGATACCTGCTCAATGCAACTGGTTGATCCATACACTTGGAGCGACCCACCGATTGTCAACGTTGAACTGCTACCAGCGCAATCCAACAAGGAGCTGATGCGTGCCAGTATTGTCATCCCCCGCTACTCCACACCCTTTCGCTATTACTTGTGGGAGCTGGCCTGCTACGACCAGTACGGTCTAGCCCTCAACTATAGCGTCTATTCCGATCGCTATCTACTCAACGACATTGACAACCTCGGCTTTACAGTGCTGGAGCAGGTTGATCATGGAGACAGCTCACCGCCCGCTTTCGTCAACTTTCAAGCAAGCGGCTGGGTGCTTGATCTTGACGGCTCTGGTGAGGCTGTGATCTTGCTTGTGGAAACCTCGCCGGTTGGGCCTGCTCCGTTGGCCAAATGCATTGCCAAGTTTGACAGGATCAATTCGGCGGAGCCAGCATCCTTCCAGATTCAGCTGCTACCCAACTTTTACGAGACCTCGGCCGAGGGCACCATCACCGTCAACAAAGTTACACAGCGCGGTGTATACAATCTCACATCCCTTGCCTGTTCCGATGAAATCGGCAACACGGTCGTATCCCATCCCGACTACACCCTGGTGGTGGTTTACAATGAAACAGTGACAACCACGGCCGCTCCGACTCTGGCCGCGTCCTCCAACCGTCCCGCCACCACGCGGGCAGCACAACCACCCACGACCGCACCCGGCGCTGCTAGCACCGTTGCTTCTTCAAATTCGAGTTCTGACTCCACCGTGCTCATCGTCATTGCCGTCCTTGCTGTGCTTTTGATTGTCGCGGTGGTTGTGGTGGTACTGTTGTGGCGCGCGCGCCGTCGTGCTGGCAAGCCTGGTCCCGGGCCCAGTGCCATTGGAGGCACGAGTCAGCTTTTGTTCATGAACAACATGTATGCCGAGCAGGCCGATGAGGTTCACTCCCTCAATTCCAACCTCCATCAGCTGCGGTAAGCCCTTCCTTTCTTTTCCTTTTTTATTTTATTTTATTTTTTTTTTTTTCATCTCAGTTCATCATGTTCATTTGACGAATGGCGATTCGGGGTTTTGTTCAGTTTGATTTCTGGAAGAACCATCTCTCTTACACGGGGCTCACCTCTATCTATGCTTGCTGCTGTGTGTAGATCACCACCAGGCGCTCAGATGTCTGGGGTTGCTGCTCAAAACGGTACCATGCCACCCACAGCCGTGTCCACTCCCACGCCAGCACCCGCAGCACCTCGCCGAAACAATCTAGGCAACCCTTTCTGTATGTTAAACGTCCGTTCATTGCTTTTTTTGACCATAATCGTTACCATGCGCACCTCATGCCGGAGGAACTGGGGTCTACCCCTCGTGCTTTTCTCGCTGCCTTGTAGTGCCACCGGATGAAGCTCCTACAGCCCGTGATCTTGATCAATACGCATACGCAGCTCCACCCTCAGCACACGTTTCCGATACGTACGCGGCAGCGGGGGCTACAAGTTCCCACGACAACGACTATCTTTTGCCCTCTACAGGTGCGCGTGCAATTTTTGTGTGCCTGCATGTGTTTTCTTGCCCAAAGAAGACACCGATTCACAGGGGTGTCTGCGGCTTGATAGGTTATGCGTCGTTGACGCCTGATCGCACACCTTATGATACGGCGCCCGGTGCGCAAGCTCCGGCTGGATATGCGGCGCTATCACCTGATCACGCAGCCTACGACACGGCTCAGCCTGGCAAAGCAGACTACGCGTCATTGACCTCAGATCGAGTGGCCTATGAGCCCAGTCGCCGCGAAACACAACGCCGTCGTAAGTCCTAGATAAGCCCGTGACTGAATGGCACGAGTGCTCGGTCTTGCACCCGCACACATGCCTGTGGCTGTTAAGGCCTCATGCGCATTTGCAATCGTTGACACGCTCTTTTGACGCAGGCGAGTTTGCTGCGTATGAAACGGCATCTGGAGCTGAGGAGCCGGATCTGTATGCTGAGGCACAGGCACCCTTTCGTTCGCGACAAGATACTTTTGCGTAAAGCCGATGAGCCGAGCTTATATGCTCCGTTTGACGCTACGCTCATCGCATCTGCCTGGGCTTTTCAGGATTTGATTTTTCTTGACTTTTTTTTCTTTTTCGAAACAAAAGCTTCCCCTCCTTTGACCGTTTTGTTTCGAGTGCCCGGGGAGCTGCAAGACTTG